AAACCATACCCAGAACACTGAGATAAAGCAACAGAGAAACTATCCAGCTTACACGAATCCTAGCCCACCCCAGTTCATGCTACTACCTTAGGAGTGGACTGAGACAGGTACAATACAGATGAAAGACTCATCAGATACCTGAAGGCAATGACATAAAACTCTTTGCCAGATTTTAAACCTGAGCTTCTGGGGGACCATGTTCCCATTTTGGGAACCACCACTTTACACCAGTTAACCCAGGAGAAACTAAGCTTTCCCATTATATTGAAGCTTTTGTTGCGGTTGGACTAACTGCATTACTTATTAATGAAATAAAGACATTTTTTGTGTTGACACATTATGTAGTGACATGCTAAAATGAGAATTTCGCACATTAAGAATAAACATTAAACACAGTGAGAATGAGGAGGAGGATATTTAATAGTCACTCATGTTTACATTTTTTTAAAAAGTTGCTGGTGTAATTCATAATGTACACTGACATGAAATAGCAACAAATATTTCTCTTTACAAATTCCCACCTGTTAGTATTGGATGAAGAAATAGAAAAATCAGCTCTACTTCACGCTTCGACTTCAGCCTTTGTACATTTTTTTTAATACTCCTTCTTGGTCAAGAGATGGTTGAACTCAAAATGCACAATGATGTAATCACTCTAACAAAAATACCTTGTGTGTTAAAGACTGGAAGCAGAAATGCACTTCAGACCATTGTCCATGTATCTGCTGACAACACTTCTCCTAAATTCCATGATATTTTAACTTTTTTAAAAAGGCACATTATTCTTTGCAGGGATCTAAAATGTCTCTACAACTTGAAGCTTGTTTCCTTTCCTCCAACAGTTGCGAAGAAAAATAATTTATCTCTTGTTTTAAGACAAGTATTGCAGTTGAGATTTATCATGACATTAATAATTTGTAAACGCATTAACAGTTTAATGAGGAAAATAATCAATACATCATCTGAGGCAAACAGGCCTTCCAAAGACTAGCTTTTTAAATTCTGCCTTTTATCAATATTAAAAACCAGGAATTAAACACTTTTTTACTTTAAAAAATAATGTATTCAAGAGATGATTGCAAATACAAAAGTGATGAATGTGTCTTTTAGCAGCATATATAACCTTTGGTTAAAGTGTCAACTGTCTCAACACTAACAGTCCCTGAAACTGCAATAGGACAAATGTTTAGCTCAAACTTGTATTGTAAATTCCTCTTAAGTCAAGTTGTGAATATTCCTGTTGTAATAACTGTAATAATAAATTGACTGTCATTTTTGATCAGCACAGTTACATTTTCATTGCAAATAGAAACCTGTTTTTATTAGGCCAAATTCATTATTGTGCCAAAGACAAGAGAGTTGTACTCACTTCTGCTAGCAATGATTTAGCTCAGTAAGAGTGCGTCTACACGTCGCTGTACAGTGATGTTGCTATAGCGCTGTGCTTTAGTATTTCCTTTTCGAAGGTGATCACTATGTCGCCATAGCGTGCTGTACAGCGATGTGTAGATGTGCCCTAAGAGGCTAGCCTGTAACTAGTGTAGATATACAGCAAAAGCAAGAAAACTCATTACTGTTTACTACAGTCCTTTCCCTTCTCTTGTACATTCTATGATACAAGCTTGGTTATGTATACCCCCACAGGATGATGCACAGCCAAACAGACAGGCCCAACTCTAGACAGAAACTTTTTTCTGTACCCGGGACCAGCCACATACTAGTATCTGTGGCATCTAAAAAAAAAAAAAAAAAAAAAAAAAAAAAAAATCAATGGAAGATGATAATCTGAGCCTATCCATCCCCACCAGATAGCAAGACCTGCACTGACACACAGGATGCTCTAGTCAATCTCCAATCAATTCTCTGCAAAGTCAAGGTGTACTTTAGTATAGTCCCATGGTGAATCCTTCTAGTAAAGTAGTTCAAAGTCTTGTGTGGGTTGATTTCAGATCAGGGCTGGAATAAAGCTAGTCTATATAAAACAAGACATGCCTACTACCGATCTGCACCTGGTTAAACAGAGGTAGTTTTGTGCAGCACCCTTTGCTTTTGATAGCACTGTAATTTGCAGGGAAGAGAAAGCCATGCTATTTATCGGCAGAGTAGAGTGGGATTTGAGGGCTTTTCCATAGAAGGGTCACATGCCTGAACAGTCTGCTCTGTTTTGTACATTAAAGGTGAGACCAGCGTTAGTTCTCGTTTTCTTTTGTAGAAGTAGTTTAGTTATAACCCCATACCTGTCAAGAAGAGAAACCATGAAGCATTTCATGTGTATTTTATAACTTGCTAATACGCAAGTGTTGAAAATGGTCCCAAATGATCAACACTGTTATATACTGACAAGTATGAAAGGAGCAGGCTACTATAAAAACACTTTAAATATTATTGCAAATTTGATATTTAAATATTTTGGTTTTGTTAGAAAAACTCTGTATGTTTGGTGGAGTTTACTAATAACATTAATAACCTTTTTTATGGTGGAGACTTTTGCCTGGTATTTTCTTGGCTATCATACAATTTATATGAATAACAGAGTGAACAAATAATGAAGAACACTAACATTCTGTTAAACTATCCATCTATCTTGATATTTAGGAAATGCAAACCATAAGCTTTAAGCTTGGTAGTTTGAAATTTCACAATTACAAACAGACCCTTTTGAAAAGAACAGTAAAGCCCCTCCCAAAGATTTTATACCTGAGCGAAAATGTCCTAGTCTACATATTAATAGGTAAACTTGATACTCCAAGAGTGAGCATTAGTGTCTGAAATCAGAAACTGTACAAAAGTAGCATAGGAAAAGCTTGGTAAAACACTATTTGGAGTTAGGCCCAGATCCTCAAAGGTATTTGAAATTGATGGGAAATTATGTACTTGCATACCTTTGAGGATCTGGACTTTATTCACCAAGCAGAAGGTCCCTCTTACTAATAAAAAGGATATTTATCAGAATATATTCAATTCCT